AAAACGTGATGTAACTCTGTTTACAACAATAGGATTGCTTCCTAATTTTGTGTAGTTTATCCCTAAGAGTCGTACAATAATACCAAATTACTTTTACGTTGGCAGAAAAGTTAAATTTTTTATTATTAAATGAACAATCAGACACGACTTACGATAAATTGTCCGAGTCGACGAAAAACCCGATGTAACTCTGTTCACAACAATAGGATTGCTTTCTAATTTTGTATAATTAATCCCTAAGTATCATACAATAATACGAAATTACATTTACGTTGGCAGAAAAGTTATAATTTTTATTATTAAATGAACAATCAGACATGACTTACGATAAATTGACCGATTCGACGAAAAACCTGATGTAACTCTGTTCACAACAATAGGATTGCTTTCAAATTTTGTATATTTAATGCCTAAGTATCATACAATAATACCAAATTACTTTTACGTTGGCAGAAAAGTTATGATTTTTATTATTAAATGAACAATCAGACACGACTTACGATAAATTGAACGATTCGACGAAAAATCTGATATAACTCTGTTCACAACAATAGGATTGCTTTCAAATTTTGTATAGTTAATCCCTAAGGGTCGTACAATAATACTAAATAGGTTTTACGTTGGCAGAAAAAAATGAATTAACACAATTAAGGAGTAAACGTACGTAACTAACAAAAATACTGAATTTCGATCAAAAACCTGCTGTAACTCGATTCACAAAAATAGGATTGCTTTCTAATTTTTACAGTTAATGCCTAAGTATCATACAATAATACCAAATTACTTTTACGTTGGCAGAAAAGTTATTATTTTTATTATTAAATGAATTTGAGGGGCGTGCCATATACTACGCAGGCTATGTCCGTCGGCTAGCTCCGTCGGCTAGCTTCAGCTTCATCTGTGTGATAAACAAATTTTTGTTCTTAGTCTGGGTATTCTTTGTGTCCGTTTTATGTATGTTTGTAAAGTCTCCCGCGACACATGATATACTCCTAATGCAGGAGTTGTCTTTTAAAAAAAACGTACGAACATTACCTATTCAAAATTTTACCCTCGGAAGTTTAAAGTACAGAAAGTACTTTGTGTATAGGTTAGAGGAAAACTTACAGAAATTTTAAAATATCTAATGAAGTCTATTTCCCATGAGGCGAAGAACAATCGTTTAATAATTATTTTTGCTTACACACTTACACACCATTCTCATTTACCAATGACCTTGACACGCAAACAGAATCCTTTTTTTTCCTGAACTGCCTAAGAGCATGTAATATTTAACACATGGCGGACGGATTCAGAGCGTCGTGGTATCAATATGTAAAGCTTATACCGTAGGCTGGTATACCGGAAGGTAAGCGAACTTCCGTTATACCTACCTTAAAGGTATAACGAATTTGCTTTTTTTTTGTACAATTTTGTTTGTACATATTTAAAGATCCTGCATTTGTGAAGTCATTTTCCATTTTAAAAGGATAAAAACTCCCGCACTAGGAATATATTCTGTGCTGCGGGGGACTTTATAAATATTCGTGTCGGACACAGACAGAACAATAATTCGTGGATCATAACAAGTGTTGTCCTATGTGTGGATCGAACTCACAACTCTCAGCGCAGTAGGAAGCTGAGAGGTGACCGCTCAAATCTCCACGCTATATGTACAACAATTTCAGCTACTCTTTCTTTCTTCTTTCTCTAGTGAGATTGACGAACTTCCATACAACCGTTCATCCCTTATGTTTGCCACAAAGGGGTAAAATTTTCATATATCCTTCCTGACTGGACAACATAAAAACCATCTGTTGTCAAAATTTCAAGTTTATAGCCCCAGCGGTTTATAGGCTATGCTTTGATGAGTCAGCCGATCAGTCAGGCAAAGTAACTTTATGTGTATATAGATTTTAGTTAAGCAGTTAGATATTAGTGCTAATTCTGTGGTTCGAAAACTCTGAACTAAACTATATATATATATATATATATAGTTTAGTTAATTTTTGTGATATATCACAAAAATTTGTTAAGTCCTGTCAGGTACGACGTTTTCAGAATAGGAAACGACTAAACAAAATTGTGACAGGCCTAAATAATTTTTTGATGATTTTTAGTTTAGTTTAGAGTTTTCAAACAATATAATAATAAATAATAATAATAATAGCACTATTGTTGTTCGCTAAACTACTCGTAAAAAGTCTCTTATTTTAGTTTTGAGATTGTGCCATATTATATACATGATATTATTTTGTTACGAGTTACAATTTATGTTTTTCATATACGAGTATGTATAACAAACTGCCTACAACGAGTCGGTGAAATTTAAGCTAGCATATTCAAAATAACTCTGTACAGTGGTTCATGTACAAGAAAGTGGTGAAAAAACTAAATGTGAAACAACAATTCTCTGACATTTCAGAGGAATTGCCATTCTCTCTTTATGTTTTCCAAGCATATTCTTTCTTGATAGTTTCTAAAAATAAAATATACAGATAAGATTGTCATGATAGTTTAATTTTAACGTAAACAGTAGTACTTTGTTCAACATCCGACTGCAAAATTACTAAGCTCATTTAGTTGTTAATTCAGAATCATTTTTTTTTATAAAATTATAAGTGAGTGAATATAGTTTTGTTAGGGTGCTTATCAAAACGAAGCTGCTAGTATTTTTAATTAGAATAATAATTATTGATGTTTTTGACAAAATGAGTCCGTGTGGTGATGAAGATGGTGGATGAAGAATATGGAATGTCACCACCCCTATTCATCCCGTGGGTGTCGTAAGAGCCGACTAAGGGAGCAAACTACGCAGAAAAAGGCTGTTGATGATGATGATGACAAAATTTAATTTACTTGTTTTATGAACCCTCCTTTCTAAGGAGAGGCCTATGTCCAGCAGTGGACTATTGGGGGCTGTTGATGATGATGATGATGATGAAATGTATGAATACCTAAATAATATATGTAAAGATGTTCTAAAGGTTCAGTAGCAGTAGCGCACTTGGCCGCAACCTCTACGCAGCGAGGTGTAAACAGATAATACTTTGTTACAGTTACACGTTAATGACGTGCAATTATTATTTTTATACAAATTTAACGCTAATTCTTTCTTAGTACAGAAGCTGTATTAGACAGACAGTTTCAAACCAATGTTTAAGTCTCTTACAAGAATTTCCTTTTAAAAAATAATTTAACCGTATTCAAACAATACTAACAAAGAGCACTAATAACCTAGCAGCAATCGCGGTTGATTTCCTGTCATTTGTTTTTTAGTTCTGTTGTCTGCCTTCGATAATCATCATCAGATCTATATGAAATTTAAATGGGACCATTTCGAAATAAACGCCTTTCGAACAAAAAAAAATAATTTTGAAAATCTGTCTATATATGACGGAGTTATGCCCGAACATTATGTCACACATAAAATATATGTAAATAAACATCCGAATTGATAACCTCCACCTTTTTGAAGTCGGTTAAAAGTACTAACCTTTCGGTCCTTATACTATACGAGTATATACTGCATCCGCAATCGTAAATTGTATTCTTTATCCATGATGTTTTAATTTTAACAATGGGAAAGGAAGGTTCTCGAAACAGGGTCATGGACTGCAATTGAAGCGTTCTACACCATCCTTTCCCTAGATTGATCATAAACTTGCTAAGTTTTAGAAATCCGCTTTTTGGAAGTTCTAGGTTTGTGTTCAAACAGTAAGCGTCCCATGGCGACGATAACGTCGACACATCTTGTAACAATCTCGTCTCTTTATCTCTATCTGGCCTGTACCTTATCCATTTTAAATTTAGTATGAATCACCGGCGCCTGATCTTCTATATCTATAAAAGCAGACACTGACAGACTGATTCACTGACTGGTCGATCAACGAGCAGCTGAAACCGCTGGATCTAGAAGCATGGAATTGTGCACAAATGTTCCTAAGGTGACGTAGGTGTGCGCACTGAGAAAGGATTTTAAAAATTCATCTAAGGGTGCAAAATCGTGGTTGAAAATTCATTATTTTTGGTAGTAAAAAAGTTATAAAAAACATTTTTCCTAATTTCTTAAAACTACCCTTAAAAAGAGATGCAAGTTTAAATGAGAATTATACATATACCTATAATCTTGATTTATTGTATCCTCTACGATGTCTGGTGTCGACCACTACGAGGACAAAGTCACTAGCAAAACGGTTAGGATTGATACGCGATGACCATACATTTATTCGGATCCTACTTCAAAAATTGAGTGCATTTAAATAATATGTACCTACTAATAGCGCCCGTCTGGTAAACAAAGCAGTTAAAGCATAACGCATTCATTTAGATTGTGATGTCGGTAGAATAATAGTAATCTGACAATAGTGGCTTGGTTAACTTACAACGAGGAGCCGTGAATAGGCAAACAAGGAACAAACCTAGCAGTTAAAATAAAGACAGAAGACAAAGAATTCACCTATGTGGGATGATATCTCCACTTCGTATAAGACAGTACTCTCAAAAGTTCTAAGTTCCACGCACACAAACATACACTCAAACCACACACACAGCCACACCACAAATACACACAAACAAACATACGGGTAAACTATGTAAAGTAAGTGGTAAACGCAAGGCAACGTGTCTGTCCTTTACTTCACGGAATGAAGAAAAAAACACTTCAAATTGTATATTTGCTTGCTTGGTGAGATCACCTCATTGAGTAGGTATTTGTCAGACATTACTGATATTGTAAAGGCATATAACTTACTTGCATAAAAATACTACCTACACACATTTTAATAACTGCTCTAAATATTTAGTGTACTGACACATCCCTTGGATATAAATCTATCGTCATAAGTATCCAACTTACTACAAGATCAACAAAAGACAGATTAATAGCATGTGTACGGTTAGTTAACATCTTGTTTTCACTTGTTTTTCCAGCAGGCAGAGCTTGTATTTGTTGTGAACATGTAACCGACCCCCATCGGTCAGCGGTGTATGATATTAACCCTTCTTTTTATTCTTTTCAGCCGGCTGTTGGGCCTTCGGGCGCCATCAGCAAGGTGCACAAGTCGGACAGGAAGATTGGCCACCGTCGCGTCGGCGAGGGTGGCGAAATCACCTACAAGAAGATTCAGTCGTCCCAGATTATGGGATCTATTCAACTCGGTAAGTACCTGTCTACATAAAAGTGAAACCCTTTTTCAAAAATTAACAAGTCCGAGTTTGATTTGCGTCTTGAGGGTTGCCAGGAGGCAGAAGGGAATATTTATTTTTGGAAAAAGTTTACAAAAATAAATATTTCAGCTTTTCCAATTTTATTTTGGTAGAAGTTTTTGCTTGTTTTTTTAATGGTCCACTTTCCCCTGAAATTAATTCTCCTTGGGAATGTATACTGTACAGACAGGACAAAGAGAGAAGAAAACCGGTATTTGGGTACGGTGAAAGGATAGAGCGAGGGTATAAGAGTAATTGACAGTAATGATACCTAAAATCTCTAATGGGGCAACGAAACAGAGACTACTGTAGCTTGAAGAGACCAGGGCCGTATATTCATTGTGTTATTGGAGAGAAGGAGAGAGAGAGTTTATAAATTAAAGTTCATTCATAGAAAAGCTCATGCTGATACGAAGTTATTTATTGATATCTAATTACAGAATAAAACAAGCACCAATTACCTTTACTATTCTTTGAAGTGGATTTATTTTTAATTGCCCAAGTTAATTACAGTCATCTGTTAGCCCAACTATTAAAAACAATTAAGTGTAAATATAAGAGTTCCGTACGTTGTTTTAATGTAATAAAAGACATACCGGCCAGAGCGTGGCGTAGTAGGCCAAAACCTCATTTTCAAGGAGTGTCTTATGTCCAGCATTGGAATAGGCTCTTGATCATGATGATAATGTTTTAGTTGTATATGGGTTTTTAATATCAACTTCAAATTAATACTCCTAAAAAATTGAAGTCTCCAATAACACTTAATCAAAATCAATCTCTTAACTTAGTTCTGATGCCATAGACAGACAGAGCCAGAGACACGGACACACGGTTATACACGTTTAACTTGTAACAGGCATCTTCTTTCCATCAAAGGTCAAATTAGATCAAAATTTATTTAGTTTTTTGAGAAATGACTTGTTTCTTTTTGTGAGTGGAAAGATCAGGAGGTTCAGGAATTTGATTATAGAGTAAAGCCAGCAACATGTACATATATTCCATGAAACCTCTATGATACACAATTCAGAATGAACACCGTAGGATAACCACACACAAAGCTGTTATTGTAAAATAAAGTGGCAGTAAATAGTGACGTCGTTGTAACGACAATCGATCGTGATAAATTATCATCGACTTGTCCAACTGTCTATCAGCCATGGCATGAAGATAACAAGAACGCTCTTTAGAGGATCTTATAATAACAAAATTAACTCAAATCATCTCACACACGGCCGTCTGATCCCAAACTAGACAGAGCTTGTACTATGGTAACCTGCCTGCTGATAAACGTACTTATATATTTCTCAATACATACATGTTATAGATCACTTAAATGATCATGTCAGTATTTATGTATATATTTGTATATCTTTATGATATATATTGCTATACCAATGAATGTTGGTATTTAAAATAAAAACTTGTATTAAGTACACAACATGACTTTGCCTTTTCGCTCTCCACTATCCTTTATTCACTCGTAAGGGTTCGCTGGAAGAAAACTCAGGTTTGGGTTAAGCTCGCCTTTGTACATATAGTTTCCTTAATCACTTATTAAAAATTAATGTGTTCAATAAAGAATAAATGAAATGAAATGAAAATGAAATCATTTTCACCACCAGATTGTTTTGGGTATGAATCGAATCCACGATCTCTGGCTTAGCAATCTGGGTCACTAACCACTAGACTAACAAGCCAGTTTGTTCAAAAATAGACGAGATGAAATTGTCAAAAATTCATTTTTAGTCATTTCCTTTAAATCGTTTCTCTCACCGTTCTTTTAAATAGTTTATTTTGATCCAAAAATACATATAAAACCTAAATCCAACACGAGAATAAGTTACCCCAAAAATAGATTTACAAGCGATCATTGCGTTAGTGCCGCTTTGTAGGCGGTTTGACGCCGGCTAAACATCTGTTTAGGCTATTATTCAATTTGCAAAAGAGTCGTATCATGTAGTTGAAAACACCAGACATTATTTTGTCCTTTTTACCTGTCCTTTGTTTTTGGGAGCAAAATAGCAATAGTAGTAAAGTAAAAAAAAATATCCAAAGCTATCGAGCAGGGTATCAAAATTCAGGTAATTAAAGGATAATTACAAACATATATATAAGTTATATACATAATTAAATAAGGAATAATAAATAGTTTTCAAAAGTTTTTTATAGCCTAAAAAAGGTCATGTTTGTGTATCTTTGACTGCTTCCGTGGTGCAGTGGTAGCGTAGACGACTGCTGTGTTGAGTCGAGTTCGATTTCCGTATCGGACCAGATGTTTGTATCACACAATTATTTGTCCTGAGTGGGAATCGAACCCACGACCTCTTGCGTAGTAGTCAGGGTAACCACTATAGTTAAACCGCCGCACACTGGGGCAGACGACCCTAATAAATGCCGGAAATAAAAAAATAAAAAGATGTCACTTGTTAGCCCTCATATATATAAATTAATTAGAATACTAACTCAGTTATTATTTGGCGGTATTTAAATGCCCTATAGCAAACCCACTTCGTTACTACAGTAAAGCGTACTTACGTCTTGCAGACTACCCTATCCAGTATTAGTGATTTACGTGCAATTTAAGAGCCGTTTTGCGCTAAAAGTATTTATTTTTGGTATTATTAAGCTATGGAACCTTCATCTTCAGGTATGTAACTATGTTTTAGAATGTTTTGTTTCTTTATTATATAAATAGTTTTAGGCAGACCAGGCTAAATTTGGGTGTGTAGAAAATTATCAGGAAAATAACGAAATAATAGACATTTTATTTTGTTTCTAAGCAGTATTAAGCTTTGCTTCCTATCTAAAAATAATCTTTATAGTATCATCTCTTATAAACAATTTATTTTTTTTGCTATATTTTGCTATTTTTCGAGATAAAACAATTTTCAGTGCGTGATTCACAGAAAATAATTTTATCCCAATTTGCCATTATTATTAAAAAATATTTATTTCGTTTTAGGAATGTCCTCGAATACATTATTTATTACAGGACAAGAACTTTTAAATATAATGCATAGTTCTAAAGGGAATAGTTTCGAGCAAAAATATATGCATCTTATAAAAGAGCTGGATAAACGAACGAGTAGTCATGCCGAGTATATATAATAAAATGAGTAGTTTTAAATATTAATATAAGTCAAGATGGGAGAAAGCGTGTAGAATAAAAGAAAATTTTAACAAATATAACAAAGATTGGCTTCAGACATCACTTTCTTTACCATGCATTGGGTGAAATATTAAACGCGGCTGAAAGGTTACTTCTTTTGAAAATTCCTCAGAAAATACTAAACGTTCAGCTTCAGAATTAGTTTATGCTACTTGTACGAGTCTACGAGCTAAAGGTCAAATACAAGCCTCAAACATTTAGAAGTTTGTTAAGCCCTGACGGAAACTACTTCAACCATTAAATGCTTTTTGTGTGGTGCAACATCAAAATATTTCAATAACTTAGATAAAATAGTTTTAAGAAAGGTGAATACTGATAATTTGAGATTTGGTCTTTCTGTCCTTCGCGGTTCGATTCGATTCTTCGAATGTTTACTACATTTAGCATACAAACTCCCTATAAAAAAATGGCAAGTCCGTGGAGAGAAGGATAAGCAAACTGTTTCAGAAAATAAAGCTCGAATTAAAAAAGAATTTAGAGAAAAGTGTGGCAGTAGCAACGATGGAAACACCGCCAGACGTTTTTTCCAAAATCCAGACTTGTCAGCACAAATAACTAAAATAGATACTAAAATAGACGTAGATTTAATAAAAAAAAAACCCATTATTTTCATTATTATATCAAGTGAATTTGATATAGATGCAGGAAAGTACAGGGTATTTGCACTTGATACTGCTTAGATATTTCGTTTCTATATACCCGTGGTACAAGATGCCACCTACTCTGCATAAGTATTTCATTCATGGACCAGAAATTATATCCCTTTGCGCTGCCCACTATCGGACAATTAACAGAAGAATCACAGGAGGCAAGAAACAAGGCCTTTAAGCGCTATAGAGAGCATAATTCGAGAAAATGTAGCAGAGAAAAATCTAATAGGGATATTTTTAACTTTTTTTTACTGAGCTCTGATCCCGTAATCACCAGTAAGCAAAAGTTAGTCAAAAGTTCATTCATGTTGATAGCTCCATTTCTAAATAACTCAGATGATAATACTACAGTCGATGACGATCATAATGATGAAGATGATGATGCTTGAACATATCTTCAATAGGTATCATACTGCTCGTCTGCCCCCTCTAACATAAAACAAAAAACTATACTTCAGAAATGCCGCTTTTTTTTGTAAAAAATATTTAATGTGTTATTTTTAAACAATAAAAATGATGATGTTAATTACCTGAATTATTTTTTTATGTTATTACATATGTCTATGAGAACACTCGGTCCACTTTAGAACGTCTAACGGCTTTAGTATATTTGATGGCAGTTATAAGGGTCTCCTGCCCCAGTGTGCGCCGTAAGCTTGGCCCTCCTGATGGACAATTAATCATAAAAAACTTACAATACACTGACATTATAATACATGAAAATAAATTCGATTTTTATTACATCGTGTGTAGATTAAATCTCAAACAAATAAATCTGTAGATATAGAGTTAGTACATCATGTCAGGAGGGGCCAAGCTTACGGCGGTTTAACTATAGACCTACAGGCCAGTCGATGTGAATCACAATGAGATTTATTCCCTTTCGTCGAATTCAGTACTTCAGTGTTTATATAATAGCATTTGGTACTAAAAACGTTAATTTTGTGACCTGTCCCAATAGGAAATAAATACCATTTACCCAGAAATATAAACCTGACCGGACCAATTTTTGGTTACTTATTATTTAAATGATCTTCCTGAGAATTTATAGGAATTGTATGTGATGAGTTCGAAAAGCTAAGTATAAATCAAAAAAATATTTTACTCAACTATGTATGTATAAGTATACATTG